GACGCGTGATCGCATTGAACTAAACTATTCCCCCACCACCGAAGAGCGAATTACCAATATGGGCGTATTTTGACGCTTTAAAATTGACGGTCTCAGCGAATAACGCTTCAAAATTGGCGATATTTTCGCGGCGAAGTTTTGACGCTTTAAAATTGACGCTTTCAGCGAATAACGCTTCAAACGTGGCGATATTTTTGTGGCCGAGTTTAGATGCTTTAAAAATGTTGCTTTCAAAGAATAACGCATCAAACGTGGCGATATTTTCGTGGCCGAGTTTTGACGCCTTAAAATTGTCGCTTTCAGCGAGTAGCGCATCAAACGTGGCGATGCAAGAAATGGATTGTATACACAAATTTTGCAGGCTGATTTCACATCACTTTTCCTTCATATTCACACACTGGCTTTTACCTATTCTTGAAGTAATGCATGCAAATTAACATCCTTGATAAGAAATTTAAAATAAATAGAAAGTTTTGCATTCTCCTGAATAATCACTGTTTTTCAGATACGAGTTTGAGAAGGTAAGGTATCGATTTGTTACACTGCCCGAGCGGCAGGGCGTGGCAGATCGGGTCGCCGTAAGTCGCCCTCAATTGGGGCCCTAACTTCGTAACTCTTATTACTCCTTCCTGAGCTATTGTAAGGTCCCTTGAAATTGGGTAGTGTGATTGACGTTTTTACAAGCTTTCATGTACAAGATGTAGCTGTATGCTGCTACGTTATGCTTATTTTAGCTTTTATTAACGTGGAAGACTGGAGCTGCAACACATTTAACGTTTATTTACAAGTAGCCCCAATACCGGATACTATCATTATCTTCACAAAGAGTTTTTTTTATGTGGCATAATTAAACCATCACACAAATGTGTTGGTTTAATTATGCCATATATATTCTATACTCTTTATAATATCTCTAGACCCTGATGATCACAATGAATTGATATGAGTTTAGCGGCCATTTAGCGGCAGTCATTTGTAGCATTGTACGACTAGTAAATGTAATACCAAAACTAACCATATAAAATAAGTACAACACATTGAGAAGGTTTACACGCAGGAATTCCATTACGTTCGTTAATCTCTTCAATGTTTTGTGTATTTTTTTATTTAATAGTACATGGGAAATAAATCCTCGTTAAATAAAAATACGCGATGTTTATTTCGTAAAATTATGACAGCGACATCTATATGCTCCTTGGCGAAACTAACAGTTGGCAACAGACTATAATTCCAAATTCACAACGTGACCAAGACTCAGCTTGTTTTATTTATTTTACTTTAGTTTTTTTCATTTTTTCGAGAAATAATTTAAAACAACGTAATTTTAATAGATATTTAACAGAGGTGTTAAAAACAAATAATTTTATAAATTAACGCGCTTGCTGGTTTGGGTAGATGGCGTTAATCCAAAATAAAATAAAACCTTAGCCGACAGTATCCATAAAAATCTGTGATTTAGAGTAGCTTTGACAAGTTCGTTAATTATTTATAAATCAGGTACAAAAATATCTATTTGGCGACCTATTATAGGTACTAAATAGATACTAAATACCCGACTATGCTGTCTTGTACCGAGCCTACCATTTCTCTTGAATTATTGATCCACGATTACACCAACAATATTTTCGCCAATAAATACACAGAGTCTCGTTCGATTGTATTATTAAAACTACAATCCCATTGGATAAAAAGCAATTTAAATCGCAATCGAGTTCGATAGATCTGCGACCTTCTTCGCGAGTTTTTGTAAAATTCCAAGTACTTCAAAGAAGGAAAATTTATGTCGACGATAAAAAGGCATTAAAATATGTTGTGCTTATTTTATTAGCATTAGTGTATGTATCGAGTTCTTAGGTTTTAGCGATTGTTACACATAGGAAATGAAATTATTTTTCCGGATTTAAACCGCGTATATTTGTTTTTTCAAACAAACCGACGTTTCGGGTCCTTTACAGGTCCCATGGTCACGGTTGACATCAACAATATTAGTGTATGTATTTATTTTTTCTCGTTTAGTGTCAATAACAACAAATTTAGTCGTTTCGTAGGTAGTATAAATACTATAATGTAATAAAAGAGAAATTCAATATTTTGTAGGAACTAAGCCTTCCGGCTACCCGACTGTTCAATTTTGTTCAAATCTCAGTTCTTTCTCGTTAAAATGTAATTTCCCGTGAAAGGAAAATTAAAAGCGGCTGGTAACAAGGATATATTTTTGTTTCGAAGTTTATAGAAGTTCAAGATGAGTTCTAACCAGTGTGATCTTTGTTATTATAATCTAAGCCTGTAACAATTGTTAATTTACCATTTGGTATGTGGGTTCGATAGCAAATCTAATCTAAATTTTACTAAAAAATGTCTAAGTTAACAACATTTTAACTTATATAAAATTATTACTTTGTTTGTTTTGTTAAAACGACCAATTAATATATAGAATTAATTAATGTTTCAAAAATGATTCAAGAACACTTAAATAAACTCACCAGTGTCGTGACCGTTCAGCGTCATCTTCAGGTGACCCTGACAGTCTCGCTTCTACGAGCTGTTTCACTCAAACCAATCAATTTTATAGAACCACATCGAGTGAGAGGAATGAACAAAAAAACGTCTGCACTTGTAAATACAACGAACACTTAAGCTCGTCTAAAGGCGTCGTAGACCCGTGTGGTCTCTCTTAACGTCCTCCTAATAATAAATTTCGTCGCATGCGCACTCCGTTCAATTGCCATAATAGAAAATACATTAATCACTCGACGTCGATCGTATCGTATCGGAGAGTGTATGTGGCTAAACAATCAACGTATTTGAAAATATTCGAGAAGTTATTCAACACGCTTCTTGTAAGCCGACATTTGCAAATACTGCGTTCAGCTGGCACCGGTCCGCTCTGCCACCTTTGCTCTCAATGTTGGGCGAACATCAGTCACAATAATTTTACAGTTTGTAAACTGTTTGCATAATGTGTAGATCGTTTCATTTTTATGATTTCAATGTTACAGGGTCGACTTAACATTTTCGAGATTTATAACCACTTATTGCACTTCTGATAAGATTCAGAATGGGTATTGTTGCTCGATACACGTGTTCGATTAGGTGTATAACAGGTTCCTCGAAATTAGTATGTATGTAGTACAAGTACTGGTACTTCAGTATATATAGGTGATATTTCATAAGAGGGTGGGGTCCAAGTTAATCGTCTTGCTATGAATGAAATATTTTTTTACTTCGTTCAACGCCACTAAAAGACCACAAAACATTTAGAGCGGTTACTTACAGCTGTGATGCAAACGCGATGCAAACGCGATGCAATCGCTAATCGTCTACCTTTACATACGCGCGCAAACAATATATACAAGTCGCCGTGTGTAATAGCTCTTAGTGTTAAATTGCAGCAGAATTTGTTAGCTTTTTACTTGGCAGCCCTGAGGGGTCAAGTTTTTCTGGTGTATGCAAGTATGTTTTCTTTCTTTTTCTTTTTTTTTAAATTATAAGTTCGCATTTGACCTCCATCTCACCTGATGGAAAGTGACGACGAGGTCGACGATGGAGCATACACTCCTAAATAATGCCTATTCACTCTCGCCTTGAAAAGGCCCAAGTTATAACGTTCAGGGAACAAGTCTGCAGGCAGGGAATTCCTCTCCATAGCCATATGTTTTGTTGCTATGGAAGACTTGTAGCGTGGATGGGTTGATGGATTTTGGTTTATGAGGTATTGTTAGATTTGTCTTGATCTTCGGAGCATCGTAGCCTATATTATTTAACCGCGCGTACTAACTCTAGTGCGAGATACGCTAAAAGATAACCATAGAAACTTTCTTGATATTATGGTAAGGTGTGGTGTAAAGGGGCTGATGTTCGCACCTCGTTGTTTTGATTGTGGTGAGTGCAGGATACTTACTCGTGCCATCCCAGCTTCTTTACGAATCGTAGCAACCCACTGAGTTTCTTGAAGACTTCGGGAAGCAAACTAGGTACCACAAGTTACGTCACCCTGTAGTTGGCCAAACCGGAGCATTGCAGTAGCGCGGCAATTTCCTCTCCTTTTTTGATAAACATTTTCTTAACTAACTGCTGAAATATGCTAATATTTCTTTAACGTCAATAACCACTAACAATAGCAGTATTTTTTGCAGGTCCCCGAATAAGGTGTGATTCAACATTGAAATTTTAACATATTCACATACTTAAATATAATACTCGTATGTCAAAGGTTTTGGTTTCGTTTTTATTAATTTATATCTCGAATAATGTGGAAACTTCAGCATTATGGTGTAGCGAGCCGTAATCTCGACCTTTTTAATTCGTATTTGAAAATGTCAACGGTAACATATCGTCAGGGTCTGCAATTAACATAGGCGTCTCTCTAGGTTCATTCTAGGTCTCTTTTTGTGTTTAGTATATATTAATTATTTATTAGATATAAAAAATGAGATAGTATTGTTTGCTGATGACACTTCTTTGTTATTTAAAGTTAAAAAGCACCAATGGAATTTGATCAGAGGAATGTGATGATGACAACAATGCTATTTGTAAGTCAGTAGATTAGTTTGCAGTGAATCACCTGCTCCTCAATGATAAACTAAATTGTGTAAAATCACATTTCTGAAAATTTAATTTGGGTTAAGAAGAATTATATTTTTTTGTGAAAAATATTCATAAACTTTATGTAAGTACGAGGGGTAAAAATAAGCTGACTGTTCTTGACAGTCGACCTCACAAAGTCACAAACTCATTTAAGGGGCAATGTATACGCTTCTAAAATACGATTCCAGTTGATATTCAAAATTTTCCACTTACGAGTTTAAAATTTTAGTAAAACAAAAGCTTTATTCGGAAGGTTATTTATACTTGGATGACAAAAATATAATAGTGATCTGTTTAGCTTTTACAGATCTATCATATTTGAAATAAATATTGTAAATGATAAATTACACGATTATTTACAAAGAGTTCTTCTTAGGGGAATCTTTAGCGTTACGAATAAGGTGGTAAAGTTTCATGAATGTGACGATTTCAAGTGTAATTTGCTTATCTATGAATTAAATGCACACAAGGGACTTGTCAACTTATTGTCTCAGGGTGACAAGCGCAGTGGCAATGGCCCCCTCAGATCTTTGCCATTTAAAGCTCTGAACGGCATTGCAACTGTTATGGATAGGTGTGTCGCTTACCATCAGGTGCTCGACTTGTTCGCCCCGCTACAGTATCTTAATAAAAGATTATTTGAGTTTAAATATTATATATATAATTTTTGTACAAAAACGATCTTACAGCTTGTCTCTCTTGTTTCAGTTTTTTATTTTACTATACTTTACTATACTTTTTTTATTAAGTGATCTTTATATCTATAAAGTAGTTACCTATATATATATATATAGTAGTTTTGAATTAAAGTTATACAAATGTAAAATACAAAGATTTCAACGGAATCACATGCCATTGATATGGTATTCGTGAAGAGCACTCGGTGTTGATGAGATTTTTTCTTATAGTTAAAAAAAGAAGATAGCTTTGCGTTGCACAGGGTCCTCAGAGGGACAGGCGCTAGGTACTGCGGTGAAAGGAAGTCATTCCGGCGGTAAATAATAACGCACGCTCGGAAGCTTCTTTCACGCCAGACCGACTTCAGTCGAGTTGGCAAACGACGGGCCTCTAAAGAGCGGGCAATTTGCGCTATAACACCCTCCGGATACTGGCTGCTCATTAACTATGAACGCCGTCATCAAGACGCTTCTTTAGCAGAAAAAAAAACGGCATTTAACAGTAGCACTCTCGACGAATAAACGCTCTGTAGAGGTGCTTTTGAACGCCCACCGCTACAAAGTGCATATAAATTGCGCTGTGAAATTGAAGCGGAGATATGAAAAAAACTTCGGAGTAAACTCCTGAAAGACAAGCTGCGGGGCAGCCCACTTTAAATTCCACAGGTACTTTGAATAGAAATAAAAGCATAAAAGCAAAGGAAGCATGTTGCTGCAACTATTATAGCAACTTAAAATGCATCTCTCTCGTGGGTGTGCTTGGTATTACGAACATTCTACCGTTTTAATAGTTGTCTGTGTAATTAAAAAGTGATTTATAAATGAAGCATGTTTATATAAAAGTGTTAACAGTAGGAATTTCATTTAAAGTATTCATTTATAAATATTGCACCGTCATCGTCAAGAGTTAGTTACTACCTTACTTAATTATGTTAATGAACCTTTTTGCGCGACTATATTCTTATCACGACGTCCGTAGATGACGCTGAAAAATTGTTTGGAGACGAGATGACGCAGCAATAAAATACGGAATAAACCTTACACTAAATTGGATTACGGGACAAGAAAGTCAAGGAAATGATCAATAAAACATTAATCTTTTCGAATCAAACGCGTGTCCCAATATATTACGGCATAAGGCGCATGGCGTTTTTGTTCATCATTTCAAAGCATAAATTTGGTTTTTATATCTAATGTGAAGCTGCGAATATAGACATCCGTATATTTGTAGCGTTGTGTCTAACAGAAAGTCAAGAAAATGTAACGAAAAACAAAATATGAAAAGAAAGCTTTGCAAATAAGGCCCATAAGTACATAAGTCGGCATTCTCGTCTCGTTCTACAATGACAAAGACGGGCGACTCTCGATTTGTTCCAGAGGATTTTCATGCAGTCCGTAAAGACGCGGTGTCGTCTCGAAGAATATTCTGATAAATCATATGCTTCACGTACCCTTGAACGTTTGCTTAGGCGTGAGAATAACATACGTTTGACTATGCGCATATGTATACATACCTCTTGGTGGTTAGGATTTTATAGTTGGACGTCATTCGAAATTTGGCATTAAAGCTCCCAATTTCTATACAAAATTAAAAAGTGCCTGGAACTGAACATTTTATAATGGATTTAAAATTACCGTGAAGTAGGTCAACAATCTGATACATAAAATGTTTCGTGGTATGAGTAATTTATATTTATTTTTTAAACTATTGTATTGTTGTTGTTTTGAATTGTTTCCTCATCATGTTTATAAATTTTCATACAAACATCTCTGCGTTAACCGTGTGTGTGTTTTTTTAACGTAAAATAGATGAATGCTTTGCCACAATCCCTTCTGACATTAAGCGACTATGAGGACTATTCCGCATTCATTCTAGATTTAAATAGTCCTATGCTGTAGCTTTCGGGAAACACAAAAGCCGGCAGTGTATTTCATTCCTTTGCCGCATGCATCAGCATGGATTAAGCAAATCGGTTCGTGCAAATGGATGGCATGTCAATGACATAAGGATGGGGTGTTCCGGACTCTCTCGTAGACTGAACGAGGAGTGGTAAGGGAGGAACTTCACTGTAAAGTTCCTACGCACACTCATCGAAATGTATCCGATAGAATACCGGCTAGCAAGCCTTTTTTATGCGGTGATCAAGATTTAGAAACTTTGAGTCCACAAGAAAGTCGTTGCCAATTAGTCTCTTTACTTTTCACTCCACCGAGTCAAATGCAGCGGGTAAAGTCGTCTCAAAGGTGGTGTAAACTACAGTATGACCCTGACCCAATAAAGCATACTAAATTTATGTTTAGAGGAGATGACACTCAATGGGCAGAAACTGAAATACGAATGTTTCATTAAAAAGTGGTTTACAAACACTTATGTAAATACAAAACTATTATTGCCACTTGTATGTACAATACAAAATGGTTTCCCTCTTTACACCTTTAAAACTTTTGTACTTTTGCGAAGGGTACCTTTGGGTATGTAATTTTGAGTTTTTCAACTTTTGTCAATAATGTACTCCAGGAAAACATTGCTGACAGTTTTTATTGAAAAAATGCTACAATACGTTAAAAAATAAGTCTCAGTTTTGAATAAAATGATTAAATAATTCGTAGCGACTGTGATTTTATTTTACAAACAGTAATGAGTTATTGTTCGTAAAATTATTGTCGCGTTAATTAAAGGCAGTAATAAAAACTCAAACTACAGCCTATGGTTATTTTTTAGTAACTCATTTTATCTCAGTTAGTTATAATCTTAATTAATAAATATAATTATAATATATATAAAATAGATAATAATAATTTAATTTGTTTTGTGGAACCTTAACTACCTGAAGAATTTTCCTGTTTTAATTTTTTTCTTTTAACTTACAGGTGTAACGTTGTTATTATTATTTAATATTTAGTTCCATATGCTAAACTAAATATTACATGACATATTTCGTCGTTTCATAGAAGTATTACTACTATACAAGTAATAATCTCAGTACAGACTACTAAAAAAACTCTCAAAGGTCATTCATTCCCTAGTTTCCCACCCTTAGAGGTGGCATATTTTGTTCAAATTTAAATGGGGCTACTACTGAGGCACCCTATTTCCAACTAAAAAAGAATCGTCAAAATCGGTCCACAAATGCCGCCGAAGTAACCGGGTAACATACATGCAAAAAAAGAACATACAGTCGAATTGAAAACTCCTCCTTTTTTGAACTCCGTTAAAAACAGCGTCCCTTATTTTTCATAAGTTTTGCAATTTCAAATGTATTTTAAAGAGATTTATTAGTCTTTAAAAAAACTTGTCGGCGGCGTTGTTACGGCGCGGAAACGGAAGCCGCCAATTACTACCGCGTTCAGCGGTTAAGCTTTGATTCCTGGTTTCAACGACTGTGGAAGTCGGCCGTCGTTGGTCGACTTTCGACGGTTCTCGGTAGACAATCCTATTAGATCTTGTTAGACGCACAGAGGATCCGGGCTTGCCAATTGAAATTTACCATTTGCTGAAAAACATCGTGAGGAAATCTGTATTGTATACATCTGTAAAGCAGTTTGATGATGAGTGTGAAGTTTGATGATGAGAGGCCCTGTGGGAACTGCAGTCCAAACCTTCTCGTTGTGAGAGGAGGGCCGCGCCCAGCAGTGGGGCTGTAATTTCGCATAGGCGTTTCTGTAGCGCCACTGGTATGTTTTCTGAAGAAATGGTTTCCATGCCATCATGCGAAACAGATGCGTTTCGGTTTTAAGCAAACTACGGGCCAGCTCGATCGTGATCCTGAACATTATTGCGGTCATGTGGGACAGTCCCACGCTATAGCGATGAGTGTGCCTGTATCTCGTCTTTTAAAATAAAATAAAATTAACATAAGTTTATAAGGAACTGTTTGTTACTAACCATTATGGAGCAAGTGCCTGAAATAAACCATTATTATTATTATCTTTTTTAGATTTTCGCCAATCCCAAGGTCTAAAAGATTAAATTAAAATTTTTAAATGGTAGAGGCGGTATTCCGTTGCACAGTCGGCCGGGGCCAGGAACTCAGGTTCAAGAACTGGCGAACAATACGTCCTGCTCGAGAACCGCCTTCTGCATTTGTGCTGGAAGCGACACGCCACAGAAATCCAACCGCCTCAAGCTATTAGCAAGGCTGACTGGAATGTTGGTAATCTCATGCGCCTAGTCGAGATACTTCCGGCGTTTCTCCGTTTTGGCTTTAACGAGACCCTCGTCATGCGGGATGGTAACGTCAACAAGAAATACCCTCGGTTGCGATCGATCCAATATCACAATATAAGTCTTATACGCAAGAATAATTCTGTTTTAATAATAATAATAAATAACGCACACACTCAACATAGCACCGCACTAGGGAAACCCTGTGTCGCGGGTGCCACGGACACACACATAGACAACCACAAATTACACCCAAACTCACGAGAGAAATAAATGTAGGTCATACAAACATTTCTCCCGGCCCGGGAATCGAACCTGGGACCTCTGCGTGGCAGTCCGGCATGGAAGTCGTTCGGTCACGGAGGCAGTTTAATAATGGATATATTTTGGTGCGGTCGTCTTCGAGTATAGGCTCGTGTGAATACTTATAATATCGTATCCTCTGTTGCACGAGTCTGTACTGTTTGTTTTTAACTATTAATATTATTATATCTATTTCAGACTCTCGCCTCTCCCAAGGCCTGATTATTATTGTTATAATATATTTAACCAAATCATCCTTCTTATTAGTAAAAATAAATGTTGTTATCTGCCTAGGTCAAATAAACATATAGAAAAAGACACGCTATGAAACACTTCCATTCTAGAATAGGTAGAGCTGATAATTATTAATAATTCACGTTTCTTTTTCAAGAATATGCTTGTATTTCATTAGATTATTTTAAGTCACTTGCTTGGTTATATTACGTCAACAAGTTGAACATTAGTCATAACACAACTATTCCCGCTAGCATCCGATATAAAACAATAACTTCACACCAAAGTACAGTTAGTTTCAATAACATATTTAGCACAATGGATCTTGCTTCCATTCTACAATTTCCAATGTTATATAAATCACAGGTACCTACTAATGTTTATCATTTGATTAGAAGATATGTACTTGACCAGTAAATGAAACGGGCCAAGAAAGTGTATATTATCTAGCGAGTCCAGACGAGAGGCAGCATTGTAAGTACGAGCAAAAATACGACTAGAAATTGCTAAAGTATGCGTGCCGAGGCAATGCATTTATTGTGCGAATATGCACCAATATTTGTGCAATGAACCTGACGTTCTACTGGTGAAGTCACAATGAAAATTAGTTAGAACCGAGTTGAGTCGGTAAACCGATATTTTGATTCGCTTGCATAATATTTTTGCGAAATCTTTCTAGAATATATATGTAGAAAATATCGTTACGTAAGATAGTTTCATTATATTTTTATGTAAAATTTTACGATTTGTGTGATAAATTGAAATTCCTTTAAGATAAAAACCAAACTGTTTGTTCAATTCATTTTAAACTATAAACCACTATTGTGTTTACTAATTGTTAACTAGGTAGTTCCAGCAGTGCATTTATACAATACCAAAACAAAAATTAGATAGTTTGATGAGTTATAAGTTAATTTGCCGTAAGATCGTTCTATCAATAATAACAAACTAATTAAACAGTGATTAAATCAAAATGTAGTAAGTAAAAACCTTGTTTAAAGAAATTCACGAGAGCGCAGTCCTTGAGCGCAGAAATTGAAACAAAACAAAAGCAACAACGACTAATATTTATTTTCAAATTAGTTCTATAATAAAATAACCATCCCTAAGAGCGATGCTACATGGGCGTTGCCGGTGCGTTGCGTCGTCGCAATACTATGATTTTAACGCACGAGTGGCGCACGAGCATTGCGGTGTCGCAACGTAACGCCGCTTACTAAGGCTCAATTTATATTGCGGTGAAACGAAACGGAAGCGACTTTGTGTAACGATATTTTATATAGCATAATGAAATTTATGGTCAATTGTGTAGCGTGCAAACTACATACGACCCAAAAATCACGTAGCGCGTCTTCAGCGGAAATCTCGCGAATGCGCATGCTCGAGAATGCTTGCGCATTCGCGTAAATTCCGCAGCTGCCGTCGGCTATACCTGGTGAATCTGCGAGAAGTGGAAAGAACGCAGGTGCAGTGTGACGTCAAACGACGACGAAATACTACAGCTTCAAGGTTCAACTGTGGGAAGTTCGCGAATGAACGAGCATTCCCGTGAATGCTCGAGCATTCCAGCGGACGCGCGCATCTTCTCGCGCAACGAGGTGAATTTGACGCTTCCATTCCATTCCGTTCCGCCGCAATGTAAATTGAGCCTACGCAGCACCTCTTCTCGATGATGGTAGGAAAAAACATCATGATATTCAATAAAAACAAAATATCGAAATTGTGGGTGTGTTTGACTTTTTGTGTGTTTGTGGAGTTAAATTGTTTCGATATTTTGTTTTACATGCCATTTTGTCGTACTCTATTCTTATAAGATATGCAAAATCTATCCGAATTCACTGTCATCTCTGCGACGGAGTTGCGGCGGATGCTTAAACGTGTCCGTGACGTATCGTCGTTGGTGAAAACCCATGTGCACTCATGCACATGAATGTGATATTTATTCTCTTTGCATATTTGTTATCATCACTTTATTTCAAACATATCATTGTAGTCTTCAATGCTGTGCGAACTCTTAAGTTGTTTGCCTTTCTCTTGGAAGTGCCTTTTGTTTGTCGCCATTACTCTGCCTTATTGTCCAGATCGTACGCATGGAACAGGGGCCTAATTTTATTTTCCGCTGACTTTAACGAATACAGAATGTCGAGAGAGAATAATCAGGCTTATTTACATTTTGCTTAGGTCCACCTGACGCCCCTCGAGGGACACCGGCGGGACCGCCTACCTATCACGGTAAACCCAAATAGCCTAATTGCGTTTTCACTTGTTTAGTTAACAGTTAAGTTCAACATGACCAGAAGAAGATTAAGCAAATGAAATGTGGGACACATTTCCGCACACATTACTGCCCCAAGTCAGCTCTTAACAGTGCAAAGAAGTAAAATTAAATTAACACTGCTTTGAAACAACATATTAAATTGTGTTGCCTCGTAACGAGGGCCGTGGAAACAATAATTATTCAAATGGGAAAGTCAGTTAGTATTAAGGAGGGGTTGAAAATGCCTTTGGTACATGTACTTAATGTATTTTTAATGTTCCATTTATAAAATATTCCAAGATGAACGAAGCAACCGGCGCGAATCTCTATAAAGGTTACAAGAATTGTGTCGGAGAAAAAAGATTTTCTAATATCCGGCACGATTCAAAGAATTTCTTCAGCTTCTATCTGGACGAGGGAAGGGGATAGAACCAGAAAAAATATTTAAATTAACATAAAAACCAAGCAACAATAAAATATAATATACTACATACAAATTTAGTAGATACTTAAATAAAATGTAATTATTAGTGTAAACGATTCCAAAGTAAAAAGCGAAAGTACAACAGACTTTCAGACAAAGCAACAGTCTCAAAATAATAGCACATTAAGAGTGTTTATTGCAACGGTTTATGTACCTATTTTTACTGAGTTGCATTTTGTGTTCAGTGAAAGCAACGAGCGAATAATTTCAAGTCTTTGTTTGGTCAGTAGCATATAAATGAATTGGAATGGCGTACGACCTGGGACTGGCTAACAACACAACCACAAAATTAGGTAGCCAGAAAACAAATGCGGGAGAGCATCGTGGTGTAATAAATAATGTAGCAACAGTGCCTCCGTTTGATCGATTGCGCAAACGAGAAGGGTGAATGAGATCTTTGGCACCACATTCTTCATACGTTTTTTCACACTTAAGAGGGTTATTTATTTGTTTATGTATAACTTATAAGTTTCATTCACGAATTCCTTCACTTAGAACGTTTCTGTTTAATTTCGCTTTGAAATAATTCACTAAGTCCAAGTATCTGTTCGACGAGAGAAACAATACACGTCTTACAATATAGACAATTGATTAATACAAAGACAATGAGATATATCTTATAGATACATGTGTACGTACGTATATATACAGCATTACTTTGGAATGGAATGTAATATCAGTGCGGAATTGTGAACCAAAAATCCGACGTCACAAAACGCATACCCTGTCAACCTATAACATTGTTCACGTTTCAGGAACCTATAAAAGCATGGTCTAACGAGTGTTTACAGATACTTGGCATATCTTACTTCCATATCTAAAAACAAATATGAACCATATTTGCCTCTCATTTGAACCGGGATATGAAGGCTTATCTCAAAAACGACACAGCCTGAATAAACTCTATTCTGTCCCCATTCATTGAAGTAAGAAAGAAAAAATAATACCATTTTTGTATGTTTTGTTGGGTTAGCCGTGACAATATTTTTCAAGGGGCAATGCTAGAGTACACAACACTAATGGCAGTTATAAATCTAGAGCTCCTGTAGAACCGAGTGGGCAGTTCAGCCAACTTCGCGTTTCCTGGAATGTATAAAATGATAGTAAGCGAGTTCGCAACTGTTTTTTAAGTAGTGCGTAGAGAATAAAACTTTAGTGTAGGAAAAAAACAGAGAAATATTGCAGCATTTGAACTTTTCTGAACCTTTTTTTGGTGGCTACTTATACATATAATATATATACATATATCGTACAACGTACTTAACACTCATTACTATATATCAATATATATCTATATATTGGTTAAATACTTTGCTCTAGTTGAGCATAAATCTGCATAAAGATTAAAACAAATATAATTAAAAATAATAAACATGCAGATCCCTTAATAAGTACGTTGGGATATAAAAGTTAAATATTTTAAACATATGAGATTAGAATAAAGACACTGCAGTGCGGTATTCCGGAACAGATTCACTCGCAGACTAAACTTAGAAATTTGAGTGGAGGTCGGCCAAAATGTCGCCTAACAATCCCAGTTAAACTTAGTTTTCTTGCTGAAACAAAGCACTTAGCTGGGCTTTAATGACTAGCTCCTGTACTTAGAACCCTTAACAATGCCTTAAATGTTATAGCGCGTTGTAAATGTAATAATTGTTTTAAAAATCCAATCAACATTACTTTATTTGAAAAATAAAGCGAGCAAAATAAATATACTAAGCATTTTATTGGTGAAAAAGCCATTTCATTTTTTATATTGCTGAGCCGCCTGTCTTCCAAACAAATGCGATGTATTTTTCACGGCAAAATATTGAGACTAGAAAAATGAAACATCTCTATTGTGCTAGCAATTTGTTTGTTTTATATGTTTCACTATTCAGTTTCCTACATCGATGTTAATTGTGAAAGATATCAGAACAGTTAACATACATGAGCACTTTGCTTCCTGTAATCGTCATAACAATTATGACAAGTCATAACAAGAGACTAATCATTTTGATAATTACTATATGCAATACATGTATCCCATTTACATTTTGCACTAATTTTCACCTTTTTATGGGTAATTTTTTAATTTCGGTGGCGATGTTTATTCTTTAAATATTCTAGAATATTATCATGTTGCTTAGTATTCGAGTGTAGTATCCTAAAATATTATTTACTATTTCATGATAATAATTTTAATAATAAAAATTGCCACCGAAATTAGGTAAAGAAAACTAATCTGAAAATAACCCTTATATGCTCTATCACTCAATAATTTGTATTTAGATGAAGTAAGCACTTACCTTCAATGAAGTATACCTACCATACGAAACCTAAGTAAATAAATTACAAAATTTTTAAATACTAAACATTAGAGAAAGCCTTATTACATAACTAAAAGTTTCACAGCTAAAAGTCAACTGCATAGCTAAAACTAAGTATACACTTAGTGTACATTTTCTCTGCAAACGATGCACAATCCTGTATCTTCTGAATAGCACTGTTGGTCACGGGTCGTAAACTCAGTTTTATTACAGGGTACGAACATTCTAAAGGTGTATCTAGATTTCTTCAAAGGTCTAGTGGCAAGTTAACAAAAGCCATTATTGTTTGTAAAGTGTCCGCATTTAAAAACGTCCACTTTTATTTCTATGCCTCGGAAATGGAAGAGAATACTTCTACTTACAATATAAGGTGCGCTAGTACGCGGCGGAAATGTTTATATAGCTATATTATGTTTGTACCTTTAGGTCCAATCTGTGTACACAAGGGTTCTATTGTAGAATAATATTAAACTCAACCCTCAGACGTACAGGGTGTAAGCGATAGTTTACTGAAATCTTGAAAAACTAATTTCGCTCTTAATTTTTTTTTGTCGGTAAGAAAACTTACTTAATGTGTTTTTGTTGCTTCGTAAAACCCTTATAAATGCTATTGACGTACAACCATAGACTGTTCTTTGTTATATTACATCTTTACAAATATACTTAACATTTCCACATCTCTTTCTATAGTGTATTTTTTCCGAACTTTATTGGCAAAATTAAGTAGTTCAGGAATATAGTACCAACTGGTAAAATTAATACTCCTCCTCCATAAGTTCTGACATCCAAGTACAATTTTCAAAGAGTTCTGGTTCTGAGTCATGAATTCACAAGTCTAAGTTTTCGGTACACCATCACTTACACCCTGTATTGATACAAAAGGAAATTAGAGCTAAGGGTCGAAGTGATTTAATTAAATTTAGGGTTGTAGTTCGATCGTATGCCGACGACTTGAGAAAAGATAATCGCGTTGCGTCTATTAAATTGCGTCATTTGTGAAAGGGTTCATTTGAGCGAAAGTTTTCAGTGTTGACGACAACATTACATTTATCTCCATTAGTACTAAACTAAGTTCATACCAAAAGAGGTTGTTTTTGTAATCAAGCACATGAACAGGGGAAATTTCGTCGGGCACGATGGACTTAGTATTCAGCATCTACAGAATGCTGGTGTGCATTTATCGGAAGTTCTCTCAATTTTTCATATGTTTTGCGTTCGTCACTTTTGCTTACCATTGAAACATTCCAAGTGGATGAAAACTGTTGTTGTATCAGACATAAGCCTGGGGATCGTTCTGATAAATAAAAGCGTGTATATGACCATTTCGTTGGCCACCATAGAGGCAAAAGTGCGTAATCGTATTTTGTTGAACGACGCGCAGGTCGATTCTTTTTTTAAGATATCCGGTGATGGGACAAACAACTAGTGCGCCTGGCGGTAAGCGACACGCCTGTCCATAACTTTAAATCGCAAAGATTACCCTGGTACCCTGAGACATGAGCTCTACTTCTACTAGTCTACTATGCCGCTTCTATACAGACAGGAGATATCCAAGAACCTGTAGAATATTGAGAAAATACAGAGGAAGCACTGGGTGATGCTTGTTATAAACAATATATTTAATGCATTTTACTAATCATTATATACGTGTAAGTTGTGTGTTCAGCACAAAACAGCGTTTAGAGTATTGTTGAGATTGTGACATTGCTGCAGCGCTGTAGCGCTTTAGACATGCTAGCGGTAGCTCCCACGGACTAAGCGGTATCCTTTGCCTTACAAATGATATTCTTGGCTTTGTGGCTTGTTAACTTGACTTTCCGATCATGTTATTAGGTTCGATTTACGTTGCACAGAACGGAATGAAATCGAATTTATATATCGAAATAGCACATAGCATAATGAACTGCGTATCTACTTTGTACTATGCACAATTCACACAAAGTTTTATTTAATATTGACAAGTCCCTTGTGCCTGCAATTTCACTAGCACCCTTATCCTTCAAAACCAATACGCTGTAATACTGTGAATGTAATAATTACTTCTTGGCGGCAGAAATAGGTAAATTGGCAGTACTTTCCTGGACGAACTGTTTCACAAGGAGCTCTACTGCTACCAAAATGTCTTAATGGGACTTTGTAAATTATTATGGACGAATATACATTTGTCTGAAGTAAATGGTTTGCAATGAAAAAGAAATTAGTCCTATACGTTATCAACGTATTTGTATTTTTTATTATATTCGGGTTAACAACAGTTCATAGTAAAATGAATTATAATTTAGAAAATTTACAAACTGAGTGAAAATAATTATAGTTAATTAGTCGTTACAAATATGTCAATCAAAAAAGATGTGCTGTCCAAACAACTTAATAGTTGCGCATCTGTGTGTGTTTTGTGTAGGTGTGTATATGTGCGGGTGAGTAATGAGATGTAAATATAATGTACTATGAGGCTTTCTTGCAACATACATCATACATAACGTTATAAATATAAATAATTACAGATTACGTGAGCAGTGGGGCGTGTAAATAGGTTGATGATGATATTGATATTGGTGGAATGGACGTGCGCTTACAATATTTTGGCACGTTGAACAGAGAGATTTGAACTAATTTAGGGTTGTTAATCCGATTATGTAGAATATCATATGAACGACATACATCTAACATTAGATGCCACTATTCGAGGATTGGAAGGTCATAAGGTCGACCGATATTGAAGTAAGAATCATTCCTTTGATGTGTTCTATGTTTAATGTTTTTTCCTTGAATTTCTACGTGATAATATGTCACACGTTGAACACCTTCAGGAAACGAAAAAGTCAACTTCCGGAAAAAGCGACGTGTAATCCTTCTAACAAGTGGACCATATAAAGCTGCGCACGAACACGAAATATATCACTTTAAAGGTTAATACCAATCTGTAATCTAAAAATCTGTAATCTAATAAAACTACTAATCAGGTGCCAATTTTGACATCATTCTGTAATAACAACTACTAATCATGTTCCAATTTTAATACCAATCTGTATACCGTATAACTCGGCCCTTTTGGGGTAAGTGTCTGGACTATTTATGTTAATCCGTAGTAAGAGAGTGTTTTATACTATAGTATCTGTTTTTATATACCTTTTCTTGTCTTGTTATAGCCTTTTTCTTTATCTTCAACTTTACAATAAATTTATGTGGACCTGAAGTTTCCTATTTTATTGCCGTGATCCTGGTCACGGCGCATAGTGTCTTACAACATTTTCATACGTATGTACATATGTTACTGAAAATGGTCTACACCTTGCTTTTGGTAACGATACCTTGGAGTACTCTCCGTTACTCTGGTTTTCAATGAAGCCGGATAAATGATAAAGATGAAGTCGTTTCCTCCAAGTAACTTGTTTCTTTAACCACATAGTCATAATCTGTCTTATAATAATGTTATAGAGGATTTGAATTCCAAGGCAGGCGAATTGGCGATCACAGTACAACTGCAATATAATTCATTTTAGCCTGTTTGCACCCACTCTATTGGGCTATTCTTTCCGGTCCCTTGCGAGTCGTGTCCAGTAATTTCCAACTATGGTCTTGATATCGGGCGGGCGGTATACCTCTTGATCTTTTTGCGTCTCTTGGCCACCATTCAGTAACGGTAATTGCAATATAATACTTATGTCTAATACACAGGAAGATGATGTTCCTTAAAAACTGGATCGTCAATCATCCCGTGAATACTTTTCGCGAGAATGATAATAATTCAAACCCAGTCTGAAAAGTACAATAAATTGTGAACATGATCAACTCATAAGTAAGTTTCAGTGCACTTACGAACTTTCCGTAAAAAGGTATCCCATTATTGTGTAAATGAAAGTTACGAAAATTTGAGAACTACTTCGTCGGAGTCACAAACTTGGGGTGAGCAAAATTGTGAAAAGCGCTGAAGTGCAATTGCCCCATTATAAGTTTCCGGCGTTAGAAGGTTTAGCAGTGAATTTGCACTGAGTTGTCTCAACAAATACTCTGCCGTTTTCAAACTCGAATGTCTTTGCTGACAATGTTGGATTAGATTAAATTAATGCGTATAAAGTGAATACTCTGTAAAAGGATTGTAAAATCCTATTAAAAATGTTTACAAATGGACTAAATAACTTACCTACATCATCCTATTGAAGAGCCAGGCTCTTGTCGGAGTAGCCTCCTCCATTCCTCACGGTGTATAGCTCGCTTCGTGACCTCCATTTTCTTTTTCGTTTTTATAATGACGGGACGAACAAGTCGTGCGCCTGATGGTAAGCTACATGCCTGTCTATAACAGTTGCAGTGCCACTCAGCTCTTTAAATCGCAAACATTAGGCGCACTACCACTGCGCCCGTCACCCTGAGACATAAGTTGACAAGTTCCATGTGCCTGTAATTTCACCAGCACTCTTACCCTTCAAAACCGGAACACAGTAACGCTGACATTACTGTTTGGCGGCAGAAATAGATAACCTCTATATAGCTGCTCAATTTAATGTTCTTGTTTATTTGTTCACTGTACGCCATTCTTGGTCTTTCTCTCCTCTATTTTCTCCTCAATTATAATTTTCATAAAGTCGTAATTACATAATAATTGTCCAAACATTTTCCCGCTTACGTTCTCTAATGTATTTAAAAGATTTCTTTCTTTTATAACTTTTTTTTAAAATAAATATAACTAAACTCTTTAAAACACCATATAATTCCATATGTAATATGAGGTTCAAGATACATAATAATGTTTGTCACTGTGACTCTATATAACAATCTTTAATTTCGGACTATAGATAACATTTGGTAAAACTACGACTTTCCATGGATTTTGTATTTATATGTATGTTTGTTTTGGAATTACAAATACATTTCTTACATAAAAATGTTAGTAGAAACGATCTTAAAACTAAATAGTTAGACTACAAATCCATTATTCCATGGCCAATAAATCTCCAAAAAGGAGCACGAACGTCACTGGAACCCGAAAACCCTTTGAATAATGTACAATAGCGGCAAATTTGCGGGCAAAATATACATAATTACTCAGTATCACACAGCACGTCCTACATTTCGTGGGCAGCACTATTTACGGTCGGTTGATCTCAGTCGTAAACTCCACGCAGCCTCGAAACAAATACGTGACCTTACGATCCACAGTAAGAGTATAATAGTAATTCTAAATTGAAATATTTTAGAGATATTTGTTAAAAAAGTATTTACAAATTATGTGTCGTCTTTTTTGTACGGTTGTCGGCATGAAGAAAAAATCATTACGATAGGCACTGGAAAATGTTTTATTAACTCATAAAAGACTTCTGTACTACATCAATTACAGGTAGTTAGAAGTAGATCTTACTGATTCTCGTGTGGTAAGAGTAATGTTAAAAAAAGTTATTTAAATTTAAAATTGGAGAATAGATTTTTCAGTTACTCTAAGCTGCCATAAGCCCTAGAAGATTTAGAGATTTATAGCGAAATCTACATTTTATCCACCTTCGCCAATGTGGTACCGACGTTAAGAAAAAAATTATTAAGATAGGCAAAGTATTTTATTATTACCTTTTTTTAATATATATTTGTAATACATATTAAATACCATTGTAGTTCATTATTAAATATAAATCTTACTTAACAAACGTATATTTGAACGCTGGCGCTGCGTCAAAAATGTCAAATCTTATTTTCTATAATTTTTTTATAAAATAACCGACCTCATAAATTCGTGGAAATACATGTATTCGCCAAGTTTTACTGAAATCGATTAATGGAAAGTGGGTGAAATCCAATAAACCGGATTCATCCCTTAATTTGCACTCTTAGAAGTGAAATATTTTCTTCAAATTGGAACAGGACCACCGACGAGGTACTCTCTTTCCAACAAAAAAGAATCATTGAAATCGGTTCACAGATGTCGGAGTAATCGCTTAACATACACACAAAATCTGAAGTCGAACCGAAAGAATCTCCATCTTTTTTGAAGTCGGTTAATAATTACTAAGCGAAAAAGTCGATACTGGCGAAATCCAAAAAGGGCACCGCCAATAAGCAAAATGAGATGAGTTACATCTGTAGAAATAGTCTAGAAGTTACGACCTGCTGCCATAAACGCAAGAAGATTGAGAGACGGATGTACTCTACATGATGTATCTCTACGGTATCTACTTATTTTACTTGTTAGTAATGTATATACCTACTTAATTAATCCTGACAGTCAAAGGCTTAAGAAGAAGGCATAATAAAATCAGACAAGCTTATTTACGTTTAATTATAAATAAACCGAATTCACTAATTCGATTGTGTAATAAGTTCTTTGTTTTGAACTTAATCGCTGTCGTATTTTCGTTGGTATTGGGATTAACAACAAAGGTCTGCGAAACAAGGTAATTCAATGTTCCCATCGATCTTTGTCTTTGGAAACTTTTGTCATCGCCTCGCGAATGGTGCTCACGCAAATTAACTTGACTCTTGAAACAAACGCAACAGGGATGAAATTAGTTCTGTATTGAGTACTTTTTATTGTAAAACTCCTCGTCAACATAAAATATTGCTACTTGTTCCGTGGTTCAGTTTTTACATTATTTAAATAGGTTAAAACATTGACTTACAATTATATGGACGTCGGGTCCGCGCTAAAAAGTGTCCGCACTTGTAAGGCGCTAAAATCGTATACAGAGCGCGACACTCCGCTTTAGTCTTCATTTGTTCTACGGACAGCGCGATACTGCGATGACATAACAATTTAAATTTCGAATAGGTTGACTTGGGACATTTTTTTCGTGGTTTTTGTATTAGACCCGTCGTCCATTTATTTGTAAGTCAATGGGTTAAAAGCAAAAACTTTGCTCTAAGTAAATCTTTTTTTTTAATGTCGATGGTCTTGCCCACACGCTTCATATAAATGAAGTTTGGTTCTTCTTTGCATATATCGCACGTTTAAACAACACCGTTACAAAGAAAACTCTCGTATTTCAAATATGAACTTAATTTCGGAAACTTTATGATCATTTCCCAAAATTTATTTGTAATGTTTGTCATGATTAGTATTAGAGCTTTCAATCTCGATTCATATCCGAGTCCCGAGGAAAAAAGGCAAGCCTCGATGCGGTATCGAAATCCCGGAAAAAATAAGACTGTCGACGAGACGAGTCTAAAATATTTTAGACTTTTCATTGGGCATTTCAAAAGTTGATATTTTTTCAAGTTCTTTATTAACTCGTGTTATAAAATAAAAAATTGTTTATGAAATGTTTTTTTACATTTTTAAAGTGGACGTGTAAGAAACAAACAAAAGGGCGTTTAATATGGTTTCAGAATCATTGGTTTCAGATAGAGGACCTGGTTTTATTGCTATTGTTCTTCACCCTTCATATATTATATTAAGCTCCACTCTATACTGTTGTCACGTCCATCTAAAATAAAAAATATAATAAAAAAAAATTACCATTCGTTTTGTAGATTTCTTAATGCTTAATTAATAATTAAGTGACTTAAATCTCAAACGTCCCGAAATTACCGAGAATGAAAACATCAGTCTCGAGTCTCGAAAATGCAAAAAAATCTTGAGACTCTTGAAATTTTCGAGACTGAGATTCCCAGGATGAAAGCCCTAATTGTTACCTTGATATTCATATTATTTTTTAATTATTAATAAACTGCCTCAGTGACTAAACGGTTACCATGCTGGTCTGCCACGCAGAGGTCACAGGTTCGATTTCCGGACCGGGACAAATATTTGTACGACCTACATTTATTTCTCTCGTTAGTTTGAGTGTAATTCGTTGTTGTCTGTGTGTGTTTATGGCACCCGCGATATAGGGTTTCATAGTGCGGGGCTGTGAGTGTAAGAGTTTAAAAAAGAAGAAAATAAATAAAGATCCAGTGTACTTAAAAAAAGTGTTGGTATCCCTAATTGGGGCTTTTCCAACTGAGCTCTATAGTATCGGTATACCGAGATTTCCTTTTTGTTTCTCAGTATCAATAATGTAATTGATTATAACTTTCAAATTGATTTTGATTTCCAAATCGGGAATTAATCGTGTATTATAAAACATATTTTATTTACCTCGACGTTTCGGAGGTATTGCAACGTCCATAACCTCGAAGAGACTGACGAGGCGGGTAGCAACATTTCCTAACCGTACTAGTTTTTCTATTATTTGT